ATAACTTATACCTTTCATGCAAAATTGTGTGTGCCTTAAATTGATTAATCTTTATTTTGAAATGAGGAGCAATATTAGAATACAATTTTGCTTGATTTGTTTTGTGATAACAATTGGTATGCTTCTTGATGACATATCTTTAACAATTGATATCCATAACAATTAGTATAAGCTTGTATGCATGTGCTTGAATTTATGCTTAATTGCTATTGATGTTTTAAGTTCTAAACACATCTTATGATAACATGATTTATGAGTAGATTGCATATCATTCATTATCCTTTGCTCATAAATTTCATGTTATAAATTTGAAGACTTGTGCTAAATTGCTAAAATTGGATACACTTATGCTTTTATGCTTGAATACATGTATGTGAACTTCATTGTGTATATTATGCTTAATTACATGCATTCAAAATACTCTTGATATTATTGGTATCAAGCATTTTGTCTTATGCGTTGAATTAATCTGTCTTTCTTTTGAAATGACAAAAAAAGGGAAAGAGTTTAAAGATAGTATGCTTATTGCAATTAATATTTCCTCTTTGTATTTATTTGCTCATTAATTTGCTCATGCCTTTTTGCTATGACAAAAAAAGGGAGAAACATCATATAGACAAATTTGCTTGTGCTTGACATGCATATGTTTGATTGTGCTTATTTCATATATTTGACTAGCATATGTTTGTTAAGTTGTGTTGGATTAGGATGCCTAAATTGAGGGGGAGTTTTGCCATTGGATTAGGATGCACAAATTGAGGGGAGTTTTGCCATGCATTGATTAAGGGGGAGTTTTTCCAAAGTGTTTTTCAAAATCCTAAATGTTTCAAAGAAAGCTTTTCATTAAGCAAATTTATCTTTAAGTTTTTTCATATCAAAAAGGAGGAGATTGTTAACCTTGAATTGATCCTTATTTTGAAATGACAAAACATGAAAGTTAAATAAACTTGATCAAGATTTTGAAAAAGATTTATTTAGTACATGTTCTTAAATTTTATATTTTGGTACTAAATAAATAAAATAATTTTCAAAGTTTAAACAAACCTTTCTTGGTGTCATATTTCTCAAACCAATTCTACTTTTAAAGATTATTTATTTAAGCTTAAATGAAAGTCTAATTGTTGTTTTTAAAGTGAACTTATTCATTTTGGACTTAATGCAATTTTGATAATATTGGTTTTGGGAAATAGATTAACTTAGGAAAGTTATTTTACAATAACAAAGTTTTCCAACATTGAATTTATTTTATTTTTTTGTATAAATTCACAAGGTTTTAATATTTGAATTTTATATGGTTGGAAAGCTTTTTGAGTCTACTTTCTAACGGATTAAACAAAATGAAAATCCAAATTTTCTAAGAAAAGATTTTGAATTTTTACTAGACACACTGCAGTTATCCAGAAAACTGCACAAGAAGTAGATTTGAAAATTCACTATAATTCGTATACAATGAATTAGGTGATAAACTTTCATATGGATAGAAATATCTTTAAGTCTAGTTTCTAAATCTTCCAACGGTTTGTAATTTAGATTTGTGTAACTCAAGATATGATCAAATTAGTAAGTAGAGCGTAGAACAAGAGACTACCACCCAACTAGACAGGATTAATCCCCTTTAGAAGGGATCGATCGCTTCTTCATATAGAATCATCGTCTCCTTTAGTTTTCCAGAAAAGGGATCGATCCCCTACGTAAGGGATCGATCACCTATGGCAAGGGATCGATCCCCTCTTTCAAGGGATCGATCGGTTGTTCAAACAGAATGCCCCCTAAGTTTGAAAATCCAGAAAAGGGATCGATCACCTAAAGAGCAAATCAATCCCCTCAAGCAAGGGATCAATCGGGTAAGGCTTTTTGTGCATAATTTCTGGGTGTCTCAAAGCTGAATCAATCGATCCCTTGCTTGAGGATCACCTAAAGAGCAAATCAATCCCCTCAAGTAAGGGATCAATCGGGTAAGGCTTTTTGTGCATAATTTCTAGGTGTCTCAAACTGAATCAATCGATCCCTTGCTTGAAGGATCGATCTATTCTTTAGGTAATCAATCCCCTATATGGGGGGATCGATCCCTTTTTTGGATTTTCAGACTTGGGGGGCATTCTATTTGAACAACCGATCGATCCCTTGAAAGAGGGGATCGATCCCTTGCCATAGGTGATCGATCCCTTACGTAGGGGATCGATCCCTTTTCTGGAAAACTGAGGGATATGATGATTTTGTATGAAAAAGTGATCAATCCCTTCTAGAGGGAATCGATCCTGTCTAGTTGGGTGGTAGTCTCTTATTCTGTGCTCTACTTACTAATTTGATCATATCTTGAGTTATACAAATCCAAATTACAAACCGTTCAAAGATTTAGAAACTAGACTTCAAGGGATTTCTATCCATATAAAGTTTATCATATAATTCACTGTGTACGAATTATAGTGATTTTTCAAATCTAACCCTTGTGTAGTTTTTTGGACAACTGCAATGTGTCTAGTAAAAATTCAAAATCTTTTTTTAGAAAATTTGGATTTTCATTTTGTTTAATTCATTAGAAAGCAGACTTAAAGAGCTTTCAACCATATAAAATTTAAATATTAAAACCTTGTGAATTTATACAAAAAAATAAAATAATTTAAATGTTGAAAAACTTTGTTCTTGTAAAATAACTTTCCTAAGTTAATCTATTTCCCAAAACCAATATTATCAAAATTGTATTAAGTCCAAAATGAATAAGTTCACTTTAAAAACAAAAATTGGACTTTCATTTAAGTTCAAATAAATAATCTTTAAAAGTAGATTTGGTTTGAGAAATATGACACCAAGAACGGTTTGTTTAAACTTTGAAAATTATTTTATTTATTTAGTACCAAAATATAAAACTTAAGAACATGTACTAAATAAATCTTTTACAAAATCTTAATCAAGTTTATTTAGCGTTAATGTTTTGTCATCTCAAAATAAGAATCAATTCAAGGTTAACAATTAGTATTCATGAAAACAAAATGACATATATACAAAAGCAAATATTGAAACAAAAATCATGTGAAATGCTACATCAAGGTCACAACTAGGCCCACTACCTCAGTTGTCCTTAGCCACTTTTATTCATACCTTAAGTTTGAAAATTGGTAGGAAGATAAAATTCCCAACTCCCAAAGCTTTCAATGGAAAGTCTAATTAAGTACATAGCAAATTGTTTAGTTTTAATAAGTTTAGTTTAAAGGACTATGAGAACATAAAAAACAGATTTTTAAAGGTTTAGATGCATGACTAGTTTAGATTTTTTTTAATTGTTGCAAGTAAGTTGTTTTTCGATCCATCAATTACTTAATTTAGTGTTTAATTTTATTGAAAAGGAATTTAAGAAATTATAATTTTTGAAAATTTTTATTAGAGCCAAATATTATGAGAAAGATTAAGGCAAGTCTAAAATTGAAACTTATATTAGGAATTAATATTTTTTTTAGAGCTTATACTTACAGGTATAATAATTACCATCAATATATAACATACTTATAATGAAAAATATTAATATATCATTGGAAAAAGTTTATTTATACCAATGGTTGTACAAAAGTGTTGGCATAAATATTTTATATTCTAATGGTATTAAAAATTCATTGGCATAAATATCTTTTACTGATGTAATTTGACCATCAATATAACCAATTAGTATATCAAAAAAATTTTTATAGTGTATAGTGACGGTTATACAACTGCCAGTATATTCTATGGTTATACTGACAATCAATTACTTTCGGTGGTATAAGTCTTGTTTACTTATGGATATGTTTACTAGTTTGCACTTATACCGACACTTAAAATATAATCCGTCGATATATAAAGATGTATACTGATAGTTATTTATATACTGTCGAAAAAGATCAATATATACTGACTGAAGAATAAAGTGATGGTATAAGCACTGTCTATACGAACAGTAATAAAAATATGTCAGTATAGATACTTTTTACTTATATAATTTGAATGTTAATATAGGTACGTGTCAGTATTTGAAAAAATTTTTGTAGTGCTTGGTGCCTTGCAGATTTGAGTTCTTTATATACGAATCAAACTCTTTTCAATTTGAAAAACTTCAATCCTGCCAATTTTTGACAAATTTTTTAGATTTTAATTTTTTGAGATCTTTCTTTAATTAAAAAATCTTGATGCCTAAATATTTTCAAAATTAAAATATGTTAATTATTTCTAAATCTTGGCCTTGGATCTCTATCAATTTAATTTTGCAAATTTTTCTTTTTTCAATTTCAATTTTTTTGGTCACATGAAAAAATATCAAAAATAATAAATAAAAACTAAAACTAAATATTTAAAATAAAATAATAAAAAAATAATTTTGAGCTTTTTTTTTTAATAAAATTTTTGGACCTAAAATTGAATTTAACAATTAACACTCAATTGCATAATTTTATAGAATAAAATTCAAAACCCATTTTAGTATCGAAAAAACTTTCGAACAAAATAGGGCCTCTATAGCTTTAAGCTACACAAATGTATATATATTTAATATATTGATTTTAAAATAATTAATAAATGATCAAATCAATTAAAATTAATATTAATATGTTAAATCAAATTAATTTTATTATCATTATTACACTAATTTTAAAAAAAATTTATTTCTCTTAAGTACATTGAATATATATATATATATATTATATTTGACCATTTTAATTATTAAGTATAAATTACTCTTAATTTAAAATAATATTATTATTATTATTTTGATTCTTAATTTATTTTAGTTAATTAATCATTCAAAAGTAAGTAAGATTCTTTCCTCATCGGTTAATAAAAATTATTGAATCGTTTTATAATAATGAAAATAAAATATTTGAGCACGTAAATTTTTTATATTGTTCACATATAAAAAAATATAAACTATTTACATCATTGTTTTTTCTTTTTATTAGAGGTTCTGATTTTTGTATTTATATAAGATGTATAATTTTATTTTGATATTATATAAAACTTTTAAAATGGCACTATTATCCTAATCATCCTGAACCATCAGATAAAAATAAGAGAATGTTGGCCATTGGATCGAAAGTGCTATAAAAGCTTGTGTCACAAAACCAGGTCTTTCTTCACGACGGCGTGACTCTTTCTCCGCCTCTCCTCCTCTTCTCTGATCTCTCTTTACCTCATAACCCACTTCTCGACCCTTTTCCATTTCAACTTGACCCGACCCGACACCCGTAAAACATAAAGAATAAACCAGTTTCGCCATACAGGTATCACCTCCCTTTTTCTTCCACTCTATATTTTATATATAATTTTGATTTTAGTTTGGAATTTTTGTTTGTGATTAAAGAAATGTATTTTTATTTTTTTAAAATTAGTTTTACTTTGCCATAATCCATATTCCGTCGAAGTAGAGTTGGGCATTAATTCTTGCTTTCTTTTTAAAAACTAAGAAAGAAATCAATTTGGCTCCTTTTGATATTTACTTATATATATTTATATTAATTAGACAAATTCGCAACCAAAATGAGATTAGCCTTGATCTGATTTTCTTTTGTTTACATGGATAATCTTGTAAACTCTGTTTTCAAGGCAATATTTTTAGGGTTTTCCTCATTTTTGCTTTGACTAAATCACTTCGTCGAGTTGCTTATGTTCTATGCATGTTCATAGAATATAGATTTACTTGGTTTGTGCATTTCAGGGTCTTAAGTCATTTTGAGTCATTTTGCTTCCTTGTCATAGTATCTTTTCTGTGATCATAGAATATAGATTGTAAGCACTTATTGATGGTTGAATTTGTTGAGTGAAACTATTTCAAATTACTTGTTTTCAACCTTTTGGTTTTAGAAATTGTTTCCAGTTGTTTATATAGTTAACAAGAAACTTTTTCACTTTCTAGTGCTCTTAGAATTATGGGGATTTCATCTTCAGAAAAGAAAAAGAAGGATGGGTATTGTCATTGCCTCCACTGTGCAGATTTTGTTAGTAATTTTGTGGGACCTAGGAAAATTCAAACTTATAAATTATAATTGGCTTTTTGTTTTATATTTATGTATGTATCTCTTGTAAAGGCACATCCTCTTAATTAGTTATGAACATTTCTGTAGTTTTTACTTATTTTGGATCTTTAACTTTTGGGAAATCCTGTATATATGCTCTATTATGTTTTTGTCTATAACAAATGTGGTTTTTTTCTTGGGGTTTCATGGCTGCAATCTTTTTCTCATTCGTAGGTAGTTGTAATAATGATATAACCTACTGTGTATGTTTTTAATATGTCAATATTTGCAGAATCTCAGGTTCGTGTGATGGATATGTCTGATGCAGTCATAGTAAATTCGAGCAGATTGAAATCTATTGTATGGAATGACTTTGACAGGGTTAAAAAGGGTGACACATTTGTGGCTATTTGTAGGCATTGTAAAAAGAAGCTTAGCGGATCAAGTACTAGTGGAACGTCACATCTGAGGAACCATTTAATTAGGTGTCAGAGAAGATCTACTAATGGCATAGCTCCATACTTTTCTGGTAGAGAAAAGAAAAAGGAAGGATCTCTTGCCCTTGTAACTATTGATCAAGAGCAGAAGAAGGATGAAGTGCTTAGTCTTGTGAATCTTAGATATGAACAGGAACAGATTAAAAGCAAGCCTGTTAGCATTGGTGATAATAGCTTGGATCAAAGGCGGAGCCAATTTGATCTTGCCCGCATGATCATATTGCATAACTATCCATTGACTATGGTGGAGCATGTCGGATTCAAGATATTTGTCAGGAATCTACAGCCACTGTTTGAGCTTGTGACATATAATAAAGTTGAAGCTGATTGCATGGAAATCTATGCGAAGGAGAAACAAAAGGTGTATGAAATTTTGGATAAGTTGCCTGGAAAAATCAGTGTAACTGCTGATGTCTGGACTGCTTCAGGTAATTCTGCATACTTGAGTTTGACGGCAAACTACATTGATGAGGATTGGCAATTAAAGAAGAAGATTTTGAATTTTGTTAGTGTTGATCCTTCTCATACAGAAGAAATGCATTCAGAAGTTATAATGACTTGTCTGATGGATTGGGATATAGATCGTAAGTTGTTTTCTATGATATTTGACAGTTTTACCAGTGAAAACATTGTCGATAGAATTAGAGATCGGCTGTCGCAAAATAGGTTCCTTTATTGTAATGGTCAATTATTTGATGTTCGCTGTGTTGTAGATCTTCTCAATCACATGGTGCAGGATGCCTTGGAATCGCTCTGTGAAATTACCCAGAAAATTCGGGAAAGCATTCGCTATGTTAAAAGTTCAGAAGCAACGAACTCTATGTTCAGTGAGCTGGCTCAGGAAGTTCAAGTTGAAAGTAAAAAATGCTTATGCATTGATAATCCATTGAAATGGAACTTAACATATTTTATGCTTGAAGTTGCCTTAGAATACAGGAAAGTTTTCTCTTGTCTGCGGGAGCGTGACCCTGTTAACATGAAGTTCCTTCTATCAGATTTGGAGTGGGATAGAATGAGTGCCATTACTAGCTTCTTGAAGTTGTTTGTTGAAGTTACTAATGTTTTTATGAGAAGTAAGTATCCCACTGCAAATATATTTTTCCCTGAGATCTGTGATATTCACTTGCAGTTGATTGAATGGTGCAAGAATCCTGATGATTATATCAGTTCTCTGGCTGCAAAGATGAGAAAGAAGTTTGAAGACTACTGGGATAAGTGCAGTTTAGGTTTAGCAGTTGCAGCTATGTTAGATCCTCGATTCAAAATGAAGCTCTTGGAGTATTACTACCCACAATTATATGGAGATAGTGCATCGGAGCTTATTGATGATGTTTTTGAGTGTATTAAATCGCTTTACAATGAACATTCTGTCGTCTCTCCATTAGCATCTTCCCTTGATCAGGGACTGGATTGGCAAGTAAGTGGTATTCCTGCTTCTGGAAAAGATTCCAGGGATAGGCTAATGGGGTTTGACAAGTTCCTTCATGAAACATCTCAGAGTGAAGGCTCTAGTTCTGATTTAGATAAGTACCTGGAGGAACCTCTTTTTCCACGCAATGTTGATTTCAACATATTAAATTGGTGGAAGGTTCACACTCCAAGGTATCCTATCCTATCTATGATGGCACGCAATATTCTAGGAATTCCCATATCAAAAGTTGCTGCAGAATCGGCATTTGACACTGGAGGAAGAGTGCTCGATCATAATTGGAGCTCATTGCCTCCAACTACTATTCAAGCCTTGATGTGTTCACAAGATTGGATACGCAGTGAACTCGAGAGTTAGTTTTCTTCCGCCCTTCTTGCACTCACCACCATTTTCCTCGTCTTTTTTTCTGTTTTAAAAAGTTATTTGGATGCAAGGAAAAGGAGGATGAGGTGGGAGCCCTGGGAGGTGAGCACCATTTTTGTGCAGCTGCTATTGGTCAATAACTTTATTTCTTTCTTGGTGTCATTTTAAGAAATTTTACGGGTTTATATCAAACTCCAAAACTTTTTGGCCATCTTTAGGCTGTTCTAAATCTGATGTAAGTTAGTTGGTTGTACAGTAATTACTATTTAAGCTTTACTCCTTCCCTGTCTTCTTTCTTAAGGTCAATGTTTGTGTTCAATAATAGTGTAAAGTGAGGTTGTATTTGCCTGTGTTCCTTTAAAATATATAGAGAAAGAGGTTTTACCTGCACTAGTGTAAATTTTGCACTTTTTTTTTTTTTTTTAATCTTTGGATTAAAATTATAAAATGTAAAAATATTATTTTGATCCAAATGAATTATAAATTGAATTTGATCTAAGAGTCTAAAAAAGTGTAAAAGTTACAGTAGAATAAGTGAATACTTGTTCTATATATATATATATATATATGATAATCCTTTCAAGTTCATTTTCAAGTTTTCCTCGAGTCGTATCTGTTCTTATAATGCATTTTCTCGTATCGGTCTATTACATTCAAGATTTTAGTAACTTATATTTGTTATTATATATTAGAGATAGTGTAATGAATAATCTTTAAATTATACTGAAATATTTAATGAGTGATTTAAATTTTAAAAATATCTAATATGATATATAAATTATGAATTTATTAATTAATATGATATTTGAAGGATTGATTTATAGTTTAAGTATAAATTAAAAATTTTTTAAGTCTAAATATCCTATAACATTTTATTGTAATTCAGGAGCTCATTTGTGGCATGTCCTATACATTATGACAACTAAGTATGTATAAATATATCCTAAAGTTCACTAAAATTTCATACTTTTATTGAAAAATTTCGTTACTCTTATCTATTGGTATCAATGCATAATTCAGGGGCACAACATTATTCATAATTTAGGTGCAATATTAAAGATTTTAAAAATATAAATATCACATCACATTTTATTATAAATATATCCTAAAGTTCATTAAAATTTCTTACCTTTGATCGAAAATTTTTGTTATTAATTTCATCGACTGGTAGCAATAGTAATACATAATATTGTTTTGAGGAATGACAGCAATATTTTTTGTATCAATGCAACATATCCATATTTTATGGATTAATAGCGATATTATAAAACCTGTTGGATATATATATATATATATATATATATATATATATATATTGTGATCTCCATATTTCTAACTGTGTTGAGATCTGCCATTATGGGTGATATTGAGCAGAAGGAACAAAAGTTACCCAAAAAAAAAAAAAAAAAGAACCTCTATGGTTAAGGAGCTAACCTGAAGTAATGTGAAACTGAAATTTTCAAAATGCTCTTTGATAACATGAAATATTTTGATGGACATTTTTATCTTTAAGGTTAAAAGTAAAAGTTATCAAAGTACCCCTAAGATTAAAAAAAATAAAAAATAAAAAGGAAAAAACTACAAAAAAAAAAGGAGCAAATTAAGACCAATCAATATAAATGTTATAGAAATTTACTATTTTATATAAATTTACTACTTTACTACATTTTTTTGATGTAATTTTAGTCATATGTGGATGAAAGTCAAATATTCTATCTAAACTAAAGAATGTTATGTTAAAAATTTTAATTATTTTGTTAATTGTTATTATATGAAAAAATAAAAAATATTTTATTTTAAATAAAGATAATACCAATAATTAAATAAAAAATAAAAATAATTAAATTCTTTTCTAAAAATTCCAACAATGCCACTAATTTTTTATTATATATTATTTTTTTTTTGTTAAATTTTTTACTTAAAAATTGTCTTAGATTTTTGGTATATAGTAAAAACATTAGTAAGAAATATATAGTAAAAAATTAAAATAAGTGACCTTAAACTCGTCAAATTCAATTGTTTCTCTTTTTTTTTTTTTTCCGAAAAGTCAAATTTAATTTCTTTCTTAGTTTGTTTTTGTAATAAATGTAAGTGATAATTAAGAGAAAAATAAAAAAATTTACTATTATATAATAGAAATTCTTTCGAGGAACATTATATTAGAGTTATTTAATTACATTTTTAACCACAAAACTAATTAAGTAAAAGATATTTATGTATATAAAGAACATAGCATAATTAATTATTTTTAGAATAAATGATAAAAAATATTAAACATGTAGTAAAAAACTTATTCAAATTGTTGGTATTTTTAGAAAAGAATTTAATTATTTAATTATTTGTATTACCCTTATTTGGAATTTAACATAAAGTATTTTTAACTTTTTTATATAATAAAAACTAAAGACATGATTGAAAATTTTAACGAAATATTATGCAATTAGAATTTGATAAAAAAAAAAAAAAATGTAATAGAGTGGTAAATTTGTATGAAAAAAGTAAAGTGCTAAATATATAACCTTAATCTATAATATTGAGAAATTTGATTATTTTCCCAATAAAATAACAAAAATAGCAAAAAAATTTAAAATGCAGTAACAAACAACATATACAATAAAAAAAATTTAAAAAGATAAAAATTACAAAGGAATAAATGTTAACCAACAAACAATACAATAAGCAAAAAATTATTTTATCTTATAATGGAGTAGACTTGTTCATAGGCTAAGCTTTCTAGTTGGCCTTCTAAGGAGGCGTTAGGTCATCTATTCTTAGATTTCGGGAGGAAAAATGATTTCAAAGCAAAAGTGATATTGAAGAAAAATCATTAAAAATGTATTTAATCTTAAAAAAGTTGTTTTTGTTTAAATTTAATAATTTTGAAAAATATTTTTTTTTCATATTTTCAATAAAAACTGTGTTTGTTATTTAGAATATTTGTATTTGTTGAATTCCAAAAAATAATATTTTTCATATTTTTAATAAAGACATTGTTTTAAAAATACTATTATATTTTCATAATCTTTTATCTTAAAGATATCATTTTTATTAAGTTCTAAAAATTAATTAAAAAGCAACTTATAAAATTACTACGTTTTTAAGATAAATAACATTATCTATATAGTCTAAAAATATAATAAATGAGAGAATGGGACAAAATTTTTACTTTCTTTCCAAAATATAAAAAATCTTCAAAGTGAGAAGAGTTTTCGATCCCTCCCTGCATTTATCTTTTGATAATGTTAAGAATTTTAAAAAATTTTAAAAATTACATTATATAAATTAAATTAAAAAATCAAATTATAAAAAGTAAGATTTTGATAAAAAAAATATTATTGTCTTGAACCAAATGTCCCTAAAAACCAAGCCCGAGGCCTAGCTCGACAGGTTGAGCCCAAGAAGCTAAAAAAATTAAAAAAAAAAAAACCCTAAAATTTTAATATCTTAATATTTTCAATATTTTAAAATTAAAATTCAATACAAAATTAATTTTTATTAATTAAACAATTTATAGGTTTGAAAATTTAAAAAAAAAATTACAATGCTTCTTCTATAAAGCATTTAAGAATTATTTATTAAATACTAGATTATGGCTCCCGCTACTAGGTGAAACAAAAAAATTTTGGTAGAAAAATTAAACAAAGTTATGAAAAAAATAATGAAAAAAGAAGTCACAGAATTATAAAAAGTAGTGAGTAATTAATTTTTTTAATTGAATGTGTGAACAATTTTAAAAATAAAATTAATTAAAAATATTTAAATTATTTTATTAAATAACACTTATGTCATCTATTGTATATATTTACTATGTTTTAATTATAGTATTTTGTCAAGTCCCCAAGTGAGATGATATCATTTAATTTAACAATACTAATTTATGTATTTAATAAAAATATTTTATTACTTTGAAAAAATAGTCATTAAATATATATAAAAACGATGAAAAATATATATGATAATAGAGGTGTAGATGAGTCGAGTTAAGACCCAACACTATTCAAGAAATATTATAAATATTATTTTTATATTAATTTTTAATATCTTTAAATATATTTTAGAATTAAAATTGAATAAAAATATTTTTATTAATTAAATAATGTCCCGGGCTGGTTTTTATACTCTATTAGAATAAAAAATGTGACTTTGGACATAGCTATCCAATAGTAATGCATTAGTATTCCTACCTATGTTTATTTAATTGTTAATTTATTAATTTTTTGAGAATATATATTTACCAAACATTTAACAAAAATAAATATTATAAAAGTACCAAGAATATCTTTAATACCAACTAAAAAATTATATTTTTTAATAATTATAGATCCCATCAGGTAACACAAATTTTTTTTCTCTAAAGCTAGATTAATAGTAGAGTTGTGCAAAGGTTTTCAACGCTATCCGGTTATATTATTTTACTTATAAATATATTTATCAATTTAATTTTTAAAATATATTTAAAAATATTAATATAAAATAATATTTTGAATTCAAAATTAACTCAATTGGTTCATATAACTACTCTTAAGTGTTAGATTTTTTTATTATACAAATTGAATCTTAACTTTATATAATCTTAATATCTAATTAAAGTTTTAAAATAAGATAAATTTCTCAATTTCTTAATTAGAAAAATACCTTGATTCATAATAAATTCTATATAAGTGTCTTATGAAATTTTATTTCTCTCTATTGACCTCTTTTATCTTTACACATATTCTTGATGGATATAACACGATGGATTTATAGGTAGAAAGACTGAAGCAACTTTTCTTTCTTTCTTAATGGCATTTAATTCATATGTTTTATTAATGTATGAATTATAAGCAATTTTTTTAATCACATTTGTTCATTATTTCATAAATAAAAACACAACTCTTTTCATCTTTATTGATCAAAAAGATTTTTAACATAAATAATTAGTAAACCATTAATATCTTTTAAATAAATAAAAGATATTTACTTAACTTAGATAAAGAACATTAGGCCACATAATATCTAACATTCTCTCATTTGACCTACGTGAAATTATTTAACTTTATGATTTAATAATAAACATAAGGCATAGAATATAGGCTGAGACCTTTTTTAAATTGATCAAATCATAAATCATTATTAAGCAAAAACTAATAACAATCATAACGGTTGTATATCATTAGCTCGACATGATCCCTTTCATTTATCACAATATTAGCTTTATAATTAACATAATATGTAATAATAGAATCATAATTTTCAACAATAATGTCTTTGTTAGAGATTAATCATGTTCATATTGATATAATTCAATTATATATATATATATATACAAACTAACATAATGGAATAAGATGCATTAATGTATTAGAAGCAGTATTTAAACAGTTCAAAACATTAAATACTTAAAGAA